TAAACACAAATGTGAAAAGCCTAAAAACAAAATGACGACACTACATTTATTTTATTTATAGCTTTTTACTCTGTATATAATCACCCAGCAGACAATGATTATAGTTAGTGTTAAATCTCTACATTGTATTCACCAGGACTGTGTGTGTGTGTGTGCAGGGACGGATTGGGCCATAGGGAAATCGGGAAATTCCCGATGGGCCGCTTACTAAATAGTAAATAGTGGGTAAACGTAAATATAATAAAATAAATATTACTATTGATTATAAATTATATTTTATTCAATGATATTACGTAATAACAGTCTATAATATAATAACGTAAAACATTGTAAATTGTAATAATACAAGTATACAACGTCTACAACAGAAACTGAATAATATTAATTATCAATAAGTAATACCAATAGGCAATAACAGCTGTAATCAAAAAATCGACTTCCGTGGACAGTAAAATCTATAAATAATTGGTTATTCGGGTTGTCGTCGATCAGATGGGCCGGCGGGTAATGACGACGAATATTAACGATTCAAGTCGATGCGGGTCGTTAATATGAATACCAAATAACCAATATTTTTATTTTTATTTGAAATTTATGTTATTTATATTTAAATATCAATCGTCATTTAATACCTCGATATCAGCACTCGGCAGTCGGCAGTGAGCACGTCAATTTGATTAATTTTAATAGTTGCGAATTTATAATAAAAATTAAAATGGAAATGGATGGGTCAGACTGTGGTAAAAAGCGAAAAGGAGGAGCTGAAAAAATTCGTGACAAAAATAAAAAAATGCTACTTTTAGAAGCAAAGGCTTCTAAAAGCATCAAATCATTTTTCAAGTATCAGAATAGCGAAGTGAGTTTTAGCTGAACTTTGTCATTATAATAATAATATATTAATAATTAAAAATATTAAACTGTTAGTTGTTACTGTACAAAGTACAATAATCTACAATTTATTTTATTGATAGAGAATGAGAGAAACAACATATTTTGCAAAATACTTAATGCAATAAGTACCTATTTTATTTTTTTAATATGAAAATATACATTAAATTATTTTAGTGTGATATTCAACTGATACTTTTAAAAATTATAGATAAGTATAAATTATGATTTATCGATTTAATAACAAGGCTGGGCAAATTAATGTTTTTTTTTTTTTTTTAACTCAGTTTTTAACTTAACTTAAACCCTAGTATACCTAATAATTATAGTTTTATTTTTAGAGTATTATTAATGGGGATGAAACTACTACAGATGTTGAAGTTGGAACATCTACTTTAGATGAAGTAAGTCTTGTACCTAATTTATTGTTGTTCTTATAAAAGTACTATTAAATTATTATATTTAACTACTCAATTTTTCTTATAAAAGTAAATAATTTTACTATAACTTATGTGCATAGTCACATAATTGATATGTCTTATAATCTTACAAATACTAAAACTGAATGTATAATATTTCTTAAAATTTTAATTAAATAGGTGACTGATAGTTGCATTAATAACGTTAGTTTGGAGAATGAAACTTTTAGTATTGGAAATAAAGATAATGCAAATATTGCCTTGAATCTGAATGTAATTGAATCTATTGATCATCAAAAAAGTGTTAGTAATGATGTAAGTCTTGTAATTGTTGTTCTTATAAAAGTAAATAATATTATTATAACTTATGTGCATCGTCGCATAATTGATATGTCTTATACTCTTACAAATACTAAAACTGTATGTATAATATTTTTTAAAATTGTAATTAAATAGGTTACTGATAGTTGCATTAATAACATTAGTTTAATGGAGAATGAAACTTTTAGTATTGTAAATAAAGATAATGCGAATACTGGCCTGAATGTAATTGAATCTATTGATCATCAAAAAAGTGTTAACATTGAAGTTATACCTAGTAAGTTTTTTTTAATTTTGGAAACAATATTTTAGTTAGCATACAAAGGCACATAGACAAAAATAATATTAATTACAATTCTGTGGCTCGAGTCGAATAGTGTCAATCTCACTTATTGCAATTTTTGAAAATAGAGGAATTTATAATATTTTTAATTAAAAATATTTGTAGAAATATTATATTACAAATTACAATTTACTAATTTGAGCATTTGGCTCATTATTATAATAATTTTTATTATAACCTATGTGTCTTTGTGTCTATTGTAGTTTGTAAATTATCAAACTAATCAATGTGTAATTTTTCTAATTTTGGCCCTCTAGATATATTCAAGAAACCTGAAATTACACAGCTCAATCAATTTTTCAAATATCATCCTCAAAAACCAAAATTAAATGAAGAAACTCCATTTAATTTTCAAAAAGCTTTCTTTAGAAATAATGGCTCTGAACGAAAATGGTTAACCTACAATAAAAATCCAAAAAAATTGTTCTGTTATTTGTGTCTTGCATTTTCTTCAGAAAGTAATAATTTTACTAAAGGCTTAGATGTATGGAGCCATACTTATATTCGAATTGATGAACATGATAAAAGCACAGTACATAAAAATTGTGTATCAGCTTTTTTTCTCCATTCAAATAAACATGATATTGGTTCACTACTTTTCTGTGAAACTAAAAAAGAAATTAAAAAAAACCGCGAAATTGTTACAAGAGTGATTGAAGCTGTTAAACTTATAGGAAAACGTGGATTGAGTTATAGGGGAAATCAATTTGAAGCAGCATACACATTAGATAATCCATTTGTAGACCATGGAAATTTTTTAGAAATCATATTGTTTTTAGCAAAATATGATTTTCAAATGAAAGATCACTTGGAAACCGTAATAAAAAAGAGCCGTAAAGCCCACGAAAGTGGTAGTAAAGGAAGAGGAGGACTGGTTACATTTATTTCTAAAACCACAGTTGATTATGTTATTGCTGCAATAAGTCGTTTGATAAAAAAATCAATTTGTGATGAAGTTAAAAATGCTAAAATGTATGCAGTTATGCTGGATACTACTCAAGATATTACATCATCGGATCAATGTGCAGTAGTCTTAAGATATGTCGATGACAATGGTATTCACGAAAGCCTAATTGCAGTTGTTAACTGTTCAGATTCAACAGGTAAAGGCATGCACGATTTATTACAAAATGTTTTACTTTTAAATGATTTGAATGTAAAAAAAAACTGTATTGCTAATACTACCGACGGTGCGGCTAATATGCAAGGGGAGTACAATGGATTCTCAGCATGGCTTAATGAATCATCCCCAAATCAAGTTCATGTTTGGTGTTATAGCCATGTATTAAATCTAGTTTTGTCAGATGCTTCCAAATCACCATTGGCTGCTGCATCTCTTTTTAATTTGTGTAATAGTTTAGCGGTGTTTTTCAAAGATTCACATAAGCGTATGAGAGTTTGGACAGAACGATGCCATAGTCTACATCACCGCTTACAAAGTATTGGTGAAACAAGGTGGTGGAGTAAAGAAGTTGCACTTGTTAAAATATTTGGATCAACTGAAGGTCCATGTAAGAGCAATGCACTGTATGTTGATGTTTTAATGGCTTTATATGATATTCTAAACGATGAAAAATCTACACCAGATATAAGGGTCAAAGCTGAAACTATGAAAAATACATTATTGAATTTTTCTACTATTTTGACTGCATATATATATATTAGAATTTTTAGTATTACAGGTCCTTTATCGAGATACCTGCAATCAAAATCAATGGATTTAATTACGGCTCAGAACCTAGTTGATGGAGCACTTGAACATTTAAAAAAAGTTCAAAGAAATATGGAATGGATAAAATTATCTGCAGAGTCATTTGTTATTTGGGCTAATACTGAGTTAGATTTACAATTTAATGGTGATAGTCCTATAACTGTAAATGAAATATTACCTAATATAAAAACCAGAAAAAAAAAAATGTTACCAGGTGAGATTAGTAATGATATGGTACATGAGCATCCTTTAAAGAAGTTTGAAATAGAAGTTCATAACAGAATATTAGATATAGTTGTTGAGAGTATTAACAAAAGATTTATAAAACACAGAAAATTGTATAATGATTTATCATGTTTGTCACCAAGTTATTTTTCGTATATAATTCAAAATGGTTTGCCTGATCAAGCATTGACTACTTTGTGTGATAAGTTAAAGAGTTTAAATTCAAATATAACTTACAACGGTCTAAAGGATGAGTTAATACATTTTGCGAAAAATTGGGACAAGTTAAAGAAAAGTCTTGCTGAATCATTTGCTACTTCATACTCTTTGGAGCTAACACAAGATGAAGAAGATGACATTGAATCTCAAATGAATCCTGAATCACAAAATATAACTTGCAAGAGTTGCAAAAACTGTGTTGTTTGTTGCTATAACATTTTACAAAAATATAATTTATATTGTGATGCATATGCTAATTTATTTTTGGCATACAAATATGTACTTACTCTACCATCAACTCAAGTATCATGTGAAAGATCTTTTTCTTTCTTAAAAAATATTAAATCAAGACTTCGTAGTCAGCTTTCGGATCCAAAACTAGAAGCATTCATGTTAATGGCCATCGAAAAACAGAAATTAACACTACTGGATTCAGATAAAATAATAGAAGAATTACAAAAAGAGAGTTTTCTTTTAAAAAAAAATCTGTCATTGTAAATTAAACCATTTTATTCAAATAAAAAATAATTACTAACATTTTATTATGTAACATTTATTTATTATGTAGGTAATACTATTGCTATTTTTTATTATTACATTTTATTGTTAAAGGTTGATTTTATAATAACACTGATTATAGTAGACTACTCTTTAAAATACTAAAAAAAAATACCATCTTCAGTATGGTACACTTGCCAGTTGCCCCCAATCTCCCAATAAATAGTGGGCCGGTAAAAAAGTATTTTCCCGGGCTGGTCCGAAATTCCAATCCGTCCCTGGTTACATGACACAAATTAATAATTATCATCAAATAATGTTTAAGGCATATAATATAGTTTATGTAACAGACATATTGTAAACATATTACTATAGGTAATAACAGTTATCGAATACATAACATGACAATAAAAATGTTAACATTAGTTACGAATTCACTATAAACTCATATCATAGTGAATCCGCATCCAGAGAGAACCACGTGGAGGTTGTCAAACTTTCTCTCTACCACAAAGACCACAAAGACCACGAAGCACAAGAATAACCACGGCTCAATATATTGTGTTTGAAAAATATATTAACCGTGTCAGAGCTATGTGTGACATCTTACAAGAATAACAGCAGCATAATATATTATGTTTGAAAAATATATTAACCGTGTCAGAGCTAAGTGTTTCGAGAATAACAGCAGCGTAATATATTGTGTTTGAAAAATATATTAGCCGTGTTAAACCGATATGATTACCAACGCATCAGTCCAGAACCTCCCTGTACACGATGTTCTTGGTGACATCGGTGTACATGCCGACTCTCAGTGACTGTGCGTTTCTCACTCTCGAGAACGCCACGTACAGTTGCCCGTGCGTGAACACGGGCGACGGCAGTAGCAGACCCACTCGGTCGAACGTCTGACCCTGCGACTTGTTGATGGTCATGGCGAACGACAACCTCACCGGGAACTGAACGCGCCGCATTATGATGGGCAGGTCGTCCTCGCCGCTGGACGTGAGCGGTATCGCAGGCACGACTATATCGTCCTGTGCGTCAACGTTCAAAATCCTGGCCTTGAAATTGTGATGACGCAGTTCGGTGACCACCAACCTAGTGCCGTTGCACAGCCGTCTCTTCGGTTCGAGATTTCTGAGCAGCATGACGATTGACCCCACCTTCAACGTCAGCCGGTACGGCGGCAGGCCGTCCGGTTCCAAACTGTTGAGGAATTCTGTGGGGAAATTGGCCACTTCGTCGGGATCGTCGACGACCACGGTGTCGATGGAGGTGTAGCTCCTCTGGGCACCGTCGACGCGCTGAAGCACGTCCCTGTTGACGGCTCGACATTCGTCGTTCCTGGGACACAGAACGATTCTCCGAGAAAAGTCGTCGACGTTGGCCAACGACATTTGCTCCGGATAGACGAAATCTATGAGATCAGCAACGTCACATGTCATTGCCCGGGGGATTTGCACGGTGTCTGGGACACCGTCGACCGCGGGCAGTCGACCGTTGCCGAGCTGGAGCAACCAAGCGGCGAAGCGCGCGTCGTTGTCGGCGCGCATGTTGCGGACCAGGTTAAAGCGCTCCATGCCACGCCACAGACTGTTGTGCCTGATCGAGGACATGACGATGTCAGCCCTCGATCCTCTTCGGACCACGGGCAATATCTGCCTGAAGTCGCCCGCGAACAGCATGGGTTTACCGCCGAACGGTAATTCTGATCCCATGACGTCCCTGAGCAGGCGGTCCACCACCGTCAGCTGCAGTCCCGGGGACATTGGCGCCTCGTCCCACACGATGAGTGCCGCGTCGCGTATCTTGCGCGCTCGCTCGGACTGCATGGTGATGGTCGATGTAGAGTCGTCGGTCAGCGTGCCGAACGGCAATCCGAACGTCGAGTGCACGGTCATGCCGCCGTCCATGAGTGACGCTGCGATCCCGGTGAATGCGACGCATAACACCGACCGGCCACTGCTGCGGAGCGACCAAATGAGGCATCCGTACAGAGTCGTTTTTCCGGTGCCGCCAGGTCCGTCGACGTAGAAAGTCTTCGCTGCTTCTAGGCCGTCGTCGACGGCCGCCATTACGCGGTCGAACACCGTTCGCTGTTCGGCGTTCATGTCGTCCAACTGTTGTGCCCACCGTGCCGCCGCGTCTATCGCTTGGAACAGTCTGTCGTCCTGTTCCGGTTCCAGCATTAGGGGGTCGGGCAGGGGCAAACCGTAGTCGCCCAGCGACTTTCCGTGCGCACGAAGTAGATCCCCGATGGCGTTCAGACACGCGGCCCTCGCGCGGTCGACGTCTTGGAGGCGCCTATTGAAATCCTCCATCAGGTTTGCTTCGTTCGCCTCGTACAACGCCAGCGGGTTTGACGGCTCGCAGAACACCAGTATCGTGACGAACAGATATCGCAGTTGCCGCGGTGTGTCCAACGCCGCCGATTCCGTCAGACAGGCCCGCCACGCTCGGTCGTCTTCCAATAACCCGAGTGCGACGGCCGCCGCGGTGTACATTCCGTGAACGACCCCGTCCACCGTCCTTATGTCTTGGAAGGACTGCGGACCTCTTCGGTTCAGTAGTAGCAGTCGCAAGTGGAAACGGTCCCGATCCAGCGGGTTGACGATGTACATCCGAGCCAACGTCTCGTTTGCCATCATTCTCCGGCGCCGCGCCCAGGTCCGCTGAGCCGCGTTCCACGTGTAATGCGTCGGTATATCGGTGTACAGGTATTGTCGAGCTTCCACGTCGTTTATGTTGAGCGCGAAGAACTCAGTTAGCCTCGTACGATGTAGAGCTTCGTTTTGCAACCGCTCTTGCGCTTGTCCCGGAGCAAAGTAGACGTTTTGTCGACCTTCTAGGTGGACAGGAAGTCTGACGATCGTGTGACTTCTCTTGTGCAATTCGTACGAAAACAGCCGCCAGATGCCTTCTGGCGGACTGACGTATCTTGTGTTTACGAAACTGAAAACAAATACAATGCTATGTATAAGACGGCTAACGCTATATCTTCTTACTGTCAAGTGTTGTAATAATTGTTATAATTATTGTATAAGGCTGAGCGAGAATCAAATTATATACTATTATAACGTAGAGTCATTTAAACGAACAGACATTTACAATAGGAAACAGTTTGAGTAGGTGTAAGTGAAAAATATAAGTATTCGAATTATAATCGTGGTGGATATACCTAAGGAACTGAATGAATACTATAAAAGTGTCATTCGTACAAAAATAGTAATAATCTATAATAAGTCTACTGTAGTAATGGCGTCGACGTTTACAACTAATGTGGAGTTGGAATAAGCGTGTTGCGTGATAATTAATATTTAACAAACAAAGATGTAGACACAATTATTACATACTACATAATATAAATGATGTGCCTACCGATATTGCTGTACTCTAGTAGCAAAACTAAGAACCCAACCTCTGTAAGTTTATTCATGTAGCAAAGTATTGAAACACAATTCAATAACAATTATCGAATGTCAATAAAAAAAAGTACACGGGGGTACGGCAGAGTATACCATGTCTTAGTAAATTTTTATAAAATCTGCTTAATTAATGTATTTATGTATGTGTACAGTTGAAATATAATTTTAGTGATAATTTGATATTGTTTGAAGTATATATAATATAATACATTAAAATAATAGAAGGTATCGTCCAATAATATATGGTGTGTACAACTGACAAAAAACCTAATTTGATAAGAGTTCATGCGCTAGGAAGTATTTTGCTTAACTACACCAATCACAAATGCTGCAATTTACAATCTAAAAATACATAATGTATACAAAGAGTGATTAGAAAAATATTTAATACATAAAATTGAATGCATAAAATATTGTTCTACACTAATAATGATGGAATAGTAATCATGTGCCATGATGTACAAATGTACATACATACAATTATATATTATATAACTATATATATTATATAACTCTTACACACAAATAAAGAAATATAGTATTGATATTGCTTCAACAATTTCTATAACTATAATTTCAATGAACACTCACTTGGCTAGTTTATCCTGGTCAAAAACCTCCAGCGTCACACAGTCATGTCTCTTGTAGATGTACTTGTAGATGTACATGACGCTCTTTATGAAGAAGCAGATCTCGACATTGATGTGCGCGTCGTACTTTGCCAAGAATTACGGGTTGTGAGGAACTACATACTCGTTGCCAACCTCGTGATTTCTCAAGAGGACCACTTGACCGTCGTCTGGACGGCGGTACTTTGGGTAACCGCCGTCCGAAACCTACACAGTCTCCTCTGCGTATGGTTTCGGGTACTCCTTGGAGCAACTGTTGTCCACCATGCATGGACACTGTAGGTTGACCCATCACAAGGCCAGTGTATCATGTGCGACGTGACTCACGTGAGTAAGCGCCTGTTGGTTGCCGGGTCCGGTTAGTCTAGTGGTATACCTAACCTAACCTAACCTATAATTGTGTATCCGTAGTGATAGATCAGTACCAAACGGGGGAATAGGAGAGGATTTGGATGTTCGACAAGACAACTAGTTCTGCCGAGTATAATTTAACGTATATTTTTAAAATGTAAAATAAAATGTTATATAAAATATTTTACTTTACCGATGACCTGGCAGCAACAATACACGGAGCAAGTGGTGAGACCAGACTAACTTCGTTAGGCTGACGAATGTCTAGCAGGCCGAACGATTATTATAAATTTTGTTTACTATACAAAATAGTTATACATATATAATATAGCTTTACTCCGTGATATTACAGAATGGATAAAAAATGACACGCGCATCTATGATATATGTATAATATATGATACTATACGTAATATTATAATTATAAAAATATGAAAACTGTAATGGTGTTCTACACCATTACAATTCAATGTATTTATTTTGTTTTTATGATTTTTTCGAAGTTGACACCGATTTCATTATTCTGGGAACATTACAGAAAGAAATATATAACTATTTTCACAAATTAGTAGATATTATAAATCATACGTCCTGCGTTTCTGCGTGTGGAGCTCATAACAGTCAACATTGTAAATTGTACAAGTGAATATAAGTGAATATAATTTACAGTATTCAGTCAAACTACTCTAACTCGATTTATCATAAGAAGCAGGTAAAATTGATAATGAGTTGGTTATAAGTTATAACCATAGAGCATAGACCTTATTATACTTATAATGTTTATAGTTATAACATAATATACATATATATTTGGGTATAATAATTACAGTAGCACAACTACCCGGGAGTGGGCGTTGTTGATTACTGAAACCCACAGACTGCAGGGGCTCTAGACCTCAGACCTACTAATAATTTACTATTTTCGTATTTGATAACAAATATCAAAATCACATTATTTTAATGTATTTATGTATAAATCAAATTTCACTGTCAGTATAGATATTTGATGTGTTATTGAAATATTATTCTATAAATATAAAATAATGATGACATTTCTCCATATTTTACCAGGCAAATTAAAGAAGGATTATTAAACACATTAATTAAGGACCTAGCTTTGTTTATAATTAAAAATGGTTTCTGTAATCCATATTGCGATGTTATGAATGCATGTATGTTGTATAATTTGTATTCCATATGACTGTAGTAACGGCGGAAAGGTAATTCTCAAAATTGAAATTAATCAAACACTATTTGAGGAATAGTATGGGTCAGGATCGCCTATCTAATAAAGCTATTTTAAAAAGATATAGAAAAAGATGTAGCTAATAAATTTATAAAAAAGATTTCTTCATTACATTTGATGATTCTAAAAGAAGAAAAAATCTTATTCAAGTAAAGAAAATATTTAATACTACCAAAGATATGAATTAGTATTTAGCTTATAAGTAAATTACCTACTTAATTATTTTAATGGTGTGAATACATATTATTTAAAATATATTGCATGTAAATAAACTACTATTGTAGTCTGTACTCTGTAGGCTGTAGTCTTATAACTTATAAGTATTAATATTATTATTTGTTTTTATGAATATTGAATATATTTTTAATATATATCATATATGTATATATATATATATATTATAGAAGGTATGTCGCATTAAGATATAACACATTTACATAATTTTATATTTAATAGTATACAATTTGATAGGTACTCCTCTTTGATATTATAGTATAAAAAGAAAAATTATACCCAAAATAAAAACATTATATTTTTCTTTTTATCTTTCATTTTTATGAAGCCTCCTAAATTCATAATACTTTAGACGCCCTAGGGTCTAGGGAACTTGCCCCATTTGCACAGCCCTCTTGAGACGGCTATGACAATTTTAAAATATTATACTATAAGTATTATAGTAATAATGGAAGTTCTTACGATTAATACTTTTTGAATAATAACAAAATAACAAAAATTGTTTGAAGAGAAATTCTATATTTTAAATTTGAACTTAACAATATAATTATTTTTTTAATCAAAACTTAAATTATATTTTCACGCTTTTGGAATAAAAATTTATGATTGCATGAATTTTTCACAAGGTACAGTAAATATTTGACATATTTTCATGATTTTGACAAATTGTATAAATATTTTAAGTTTAAACGTTCATAAAAAAATTTCGTGACTATGTATTAGGAAATCTTTTAATTACGGCTAGAATAACTTATGAATTTTATATTACATTTTTAAGTTTCCATACAGAGTAAAATTTTTCAATATAAATTGAAAAAAATCAATAGTTATAATAGAAATTTTCTACTTATCATTTACGTTCCGGGCTTTTAAATTCCTTAATATTACGTTACGGATTACGGTCTTGTGTTTTACATTCCGGAATTTCACGTTTCGGGATATTAAATTCCGGGATTGAACGTTCCTTATTATTACTTTCCGGACTTTTATAGCCCTCCAGTCCATCGTATGACGAAGATTCATCTAATCTCGAGACTGAAAAAGAAATATTAAACGTGACACATAGGTTAATAAACTTCGACAGTCCAAATAAAAATAAAGTAAAAACTAAAACGGAGAAACCTACCATAACGATAATTAGTAGTTCAGATAATAGGTCAGGTAGAACTACTTGTAGTAAGGTCACCGATAGTTTTGAACACACAGAGTATTGTTCGATAAAAAATTACGAAATAAAAAAATGGTTACCATAAGACTAGATGATGCTTTTAAATTAATACCTTTATGCACGGGAGAGGATGACAGGTCTAGTCGAAAAAAAACATGCACCAACGTTAATAAAATATATTTCCACCAGATTACTCGGTAGAGCGTTAGAAATGATACGATATAAAAATGTGACCAAGTGGACATTCATTAAAAGCTATTTAACAGACGAGTTAGAGGATTTAACAACTGCATCAAGCTTACAAATACAACTAAATTCAATTTAAATGCGCAATGATGAGGACGTAAATGAGTATTGTCATAGAGTAGAAAAGTTATATTATAATTATGTACCGCCTGTACACTTAATAAAATATATTCAGAAGCGAGAGTAATAACCGAAACATTAAAGGAACAAACGTTAGCGATTTTTATTAAGGGGTTAATAAATCCGATTAGAAATGCTGTTTAAAATTAACTCTTGGAAATATGAGCATGGGTGGCAAAGAATTAAATATTGCATTGACTGCAAACACCGTTGTTACAGTTGTCCCTCTTTCGCCAGAAGTAGACCTTCCAACTTCTTTCTCCCACTTTTCTACAACAATTTTTTTTGGTTTTTGCATAGTTGTGACACCAGTTTCGTCAACATTCCAGACTCTATGTCCCTCAAAATTATGCTTCACTTATAGACTATGTAGATTATCAAAAAAAATAGTAACATTGCGTCTATTAAAGCTGGTGATTCTCCCAAGACTAGTTGCTTCAGGTAAACGTAATGTTAAAGTAGGATTTCTTTTTAAAAAACTAGTAAACCAGTCTTTAGAGGCTATTTTGTGTACATCCTACCCTTTGGGACATGCAACATTATTTGATTTTGCACATTCATATGCCAATACCTTAACATCTGATGGTGTAAGACCATAATAAATTCTGCTACAATGAACCAAGTAATTAGATAAAGTAGATTCTAACTCATCTGAAAAGATTTGTTTTTTTTTTTGCATAGCCTAATAGTTTACAATTTGGTTTTAGTGGTAAATTTGATTGTTTCTTTATATATCTTTGAAGAGTCATAAAGTTTATTTCACATTTTTCTGTAGCATTTCTTAGTGAACTTTCTTTTGATAACACTTCAGCTGCAGCATTTTTATAAATATCTTCAGATACTGTACCACGGTTTGGTTTTTTTATATAGATTTGACCATATAGATAAGACAGTTATAGTAATTTAATAACTTGCACAAACAAATTCAATTTTTTTTGTAGTGGGGTACGTTGATACACTATAACAACTTGCCCCTTATCAACTGTAACAACTTGCCCCATATAGAAATATTTTGTATTCAGTGTCATCACATGAAAGTAAATGGTTGATTTTGTAATTTGTGAAAAAAAAATGAAATAGTATTACCTAGTGAATACATATATAGTAACAAAAATGTCTTACCTTAAGTCCTTGCTTTGAAAAAAAAAAAATGAAATTGTCAACTAGAATTTATTACTGATATG